AATTCAGTAGACAAACTAACAGACAGGTATGCAGGTTCATTCATCAGTTCACCGTGAACGTGAGATATAAACGTAGAAGATAGCACCTCATGCTGTTTAGTGGAAATGCTTTCAGGAAGCAGTTACAGATTGGGATCCAAGTTTGAAAATAATATGAAGAAATGTGAGGGTAATTCACTTTAAATTTCAAGAATTCCAGAAAAGCAAACATTCTTGATATTGTTATTATTTACACTCATGCAATTTAGAGTTTAAAATAGCATAGCCAGGTGCAGTATGAGAGAGAAAGATGGGGGAGGGGAGAGAGGGAAACTTTAAAAACAAATAGTGTTAAATGAAATATTAAAAGGAAAATATTTCTATCTATCCAAGATATTTTTTTTAAGTCTGCAGCATTTGTTCATTTCCCCATAAAAATTACTTATAAGCAGAAATGGTATCTGACATTGGATGTTGAAATGCACCCTTGACAGGCCTCCAGTTTCCTCAGCCTTCAAACAGTTCAACAGTAAGATATAATTGATATATTCAGTGATTGCTGCTTGTGATGAAGAAATAGTATAGAAGATAAAATTCCATATAGTTGATGCATTTTTGGAAATGGAAGCTGAAAGATTTTGTATTGTGCTTCATGCAGGGAAGAGTTCCATAAGCTTTGGTAGTGACTTCAAAGTTGGGTAAATTCTTGTTAGTATCATTAATTGTGTATTTGAAATGACAATCGGTGTAAGAGGACAGAGAAATTACTGCCTACATTTCTGATTTCCATTGCGTGCTTTTTCCCTGTATTTTGTGGTTGCTGGTATTTGCAGTTTCAGATTTGTAGCCTGCTAGCCCTATATATAGTTGTATGTAAGTTATACTCAGTATTCATTTTCTGCTGTTTCAAACTATCAGGCTTTAAGAACTCCAGTCCATTAATTTCTGGTTCTAGTTTCAATAGTTCTCACTAAACCATGTCCCTCAACACAAAATCCAAATGTTCCTTGAAAACCTCCAGGGTCGGTGACTCCACCACCTCCCTGGGCAGTCCATTCCAGTGCCTGACCACTCTTTCAGAGAAGTAGTATTTCCTAACTTCCAGCCCAAATCTCCCCTGATGCAGCTTGAAGCCATTCCCTTTAGTCCTATCACCAGTTACACAAGAGAAGAGGCCGACCCCCAGCTCACTACAGCCTCCCTTCAGGTAGTTATAGAGAGCAATAAGGTCTCCCCTGAGCCTCCTTTTCTCCAGACTGAACAATCCCAGCTACTTCGGCCATTCCTCATAAGGCCTGTGCTCCAGACCCCTCACCAATAGTGTCCCCTCACCAATATTGACCCCTCACCAATAGTACAATAACAGGAGGAATAGAAGACATGGGAATTTCCCTGATCTGTGTTTTAAGATGGCTTTGAGATCTCAAAAAGAAAACACCAAAACAAAAAAAAAAAACCACGTCATTTCATGATGCACCTTTATTGTATCCTGAGACATCCCAAACCTATTAGTTGGTACTCAGTGGAATTCTTGCTGTTGTCATTTAACCAGAGTAGGTGTTTACTGGTCACTTGTTTTTTCCATGTTTGTTTTGATGAAATGGAGAAAAGCGTGGTATTTAAGCCTCTAGAATTCATTACCTCCTGAATTCCAGTGCTGTCTTGGTGATTGCATTATTTATCATTTGTTTCATTTAAAGTGGAAACAAAAAATTCATCATTTTGTTCAGCTTTTGTTTTACTTTCGATGTTTGATTTTACTTGTTGCTTTTTATACAGTACACTTTTCAGACCACAGTGTCTGAAAAGTTGCAGTTACATACAGCAATACATAATGGTTTTGTAGAGAGAAACAATTGTAATAGAAAACAAGAAATAGTCACAGTAAAGTTGAGCAAATTTGAGAGCAAAACCACTGTATTGCTAGCACTGGTGTCTAGCAGGTGTCTCCATTTCATTTGCTTGCTTCAGAAGAACTGGTTTTTGCTAAAAGCAGTTTTCTGCCTTGGTCAGCACAGTGGGATCAGCAGGGGACCCACAGGCCCCAGTCTCCTGCACCACACTATGTGACCATCAGCACAACAGAATCAGGTTACAGCATGAGTCAACTGTACGTGTTTTCAGTGATGAATGGTAGCCACAAATGGGGCTGCAGTTAATAACAAAATCAGCAGGTCAAGGGACTTGCTGTTCCCCTCTGCGTTTTGTTCGTGAGGTCGCATCTGAAATACATGCATCTAAAATATTGTATGCAGTTTGTGGTCTGCTCGGGGACTAGCGATTTTTATTTCAAACATGATTTTTACATGATTGCTTGTGTTAGCTGCATTTGTCGTTCTCCTAAGAATTCATTTCATCAGTAACTTGTATAACTTTGTGCCACTGGGATAAGGAATTCACATTTCATACTTCTATGCATCTTTTGAAACTAAGTTATTATCTGGGGACCCTGTGGATTCAGTGGAGAAATGACTGCTTTTTTGCCTCTGTTAAGTGCTCTGGATTGTTCTGCCTTTTTGTAAGAATATTATCTAAAGAAGGCATTGTGAATGGCTTCCTTTTATGGCAGTAGATAGTTTGTTTCCGAGCTCCTCTGTTTATCAGTGCACAGGCAAAGATAGATCTCCCATCTCAGACAGATGTTGAAGAGATCATACCGTAAGTACTTCCATTACTGCACTGTTGGGATCTTCTTGAGAGCTTTAGATAAAGGGAACTGTATTCTTAAGAGGCAATTATTCACCTGAAGACAATATAAGGATTTGTTTTGACCTTTTCTTTCTTTCCAAAGTGGCGAAACAGATCTGCTGAAATGAAAGTGACATAGAATTGTGCCATTGCTGTCAAGTCTTAGTAGATACCATGATAATTCTATCATGAAAGGAAGACAAGGGAATCAGCTGTTATGGATTTAATCCTGCAGACAAAGGACTTTTTGCTCGCTGCAAGCATACCAATTTATACTTTAACAATAAAGTATATCAGCTGATGTATATATGTGTCTATTAGAATTTGGGGTCTTGTTAATATTGTATATGCTGGGTATTTTATATTACTGTTTTCAGCAAGCGTGTAGTTTTAATTCTTCGCATTCATTGTCAGAACTCTATTATGAATGTTAGTTTAATAACTCCTTCAGTAAGTCATGAGTGAGTAACTGCTTGTTAACCACTCTGTGTCACTTTGAATGCTTTTGCTGATGTTTATTATAAATTAAATAGTAGAGGACTTCACCTTAGATAAGAGAATCACAGGTTAAATAACCCTGCAACTTAATAGTGCTCTTGATTCAAGTTTGTTTACTTCTAGTTTAGCTCCAAAAATAAAGCAGTATAGCACATAAATATAAATACATCAACTGTGTAAATTCAGCAGATACTTAAGCACAACAGTGGCTATAAGTACAAGTTGGTAGATAAGATGCTAGAGAGCAGCCCTGCTGAAAGGGATCTTGGTCAACAGTAATCTGAATATGAGTCAACAGTGTGCTTAGGCAGGCAGAAAGGCTAACCATTTCCTGGGGTGCATTGAGCATGACATTGTCAGCCAGGTGAGGAAAGGGATTGTCCTGCCCTACACTGCACTGATGTTTCCTCACCTTGTGTACCATTTGCAGGCTTGGGTGCTACGCTACAAGAAAATGAAACTCTTAGGCAGTGTTCAAAGGAGGGCTACAAAGGTGGGGAAGGGTCTAGAAAGGAAGACATATGACAAGGGTCTGAAGTCCCTTGGTTTGTTTAGCCCAGAGCAAAGCAGGCTGAGGGGAGGCCTCATGATGGCCCGAACTTCTCACAGGGAGCAGAGAGATAGCGCTGAGCTGTGCACAGTGATGTGGACTGTGTGACAATGATGGGACCTGATGGAACAGCATGGAGCTGTGTCAGGGGAGGGTCAGGTGGGGACTAGGGAGAGGTTTTTCAACCAGATGGTAGTAGGCAGGTTCCCTATATTAATGGTCACAGCCTTGAGCTACAGGAGATCAAGGACTGTCTAGAGACCGCTCTCAGACGTATGGCCTGATTTTGAGATGGTCTTGTGTCGAGCCCAGAATTGGTCTTGATGATCCTTACAGATCTTTCCAACTCAGGATATTCTGTGATTCTATAAAAGGATATAAATGAAATCTAATTATCATGACACCCACGGGCACTGAAGTCACCTGTGGAGCTTTCTGAAGTTTAATTGATGAAACTATTGCATGTCATACATTTTGAAGAATGGTGTACTTCCATGCTACCACCCAATAAACTTGTGTTGTTCCTTCTGAAAGTTTTAATAGTCTTAGTATGTGAAAATGCATTCCACCAACATCCAGATGTGTGGGATTTCAGAGATAGATGCATAGTATTGAATATACTGCAGACAGTAAGGAAGATATTGGCATCTGCAGAACAAAGTTGTTGTAAATACAGAAAGTACGCATAAAAATTGAATAAAATGCAATTGGATCTTAGCGTATGTACATGCTGTTAAGAGAAAGTTTCTTACATTCAAAAATGATTTAAAGAATTTTTTGAGTACAATCTTTAAATTTCTGTATCGTAAAAGAATTTAAAGGAAATGTTGCTTAGATTTTTATATAGCAAATATAGCAATCATAGACATTAAAACTGGAGAAGGCAGTTTGCTGCAGCATATATGCTACTAGCAAATGAAACCAAAACACAATAAAGAGGAAAAAGCATTTTGGTTTCAATAATGTTTATGTTTGTTCAAAAAGATCTAATGCATACTTATTGACTACAATACCCTATGTTCAGAAATAATAAATGTAGTCTATGTACTTAAGGGAAGTAAATAATCAGCACATATAGATGCTTGTACAGATAAAGCTTTTATTGTATGTGTTGCTCCTGATACTGTCCATTATTATCCTTCTTTTTGTTGCCTTTATTTTATTTGTAAATTCAAACCTCAAGACTTTTCAGAAGTTGTTAAGATATTGTAGACACTGAGAAATATTGGACAGTTTCAGAAAACTGACATATCTTCCTTTATGGATATATTTCTTCTTACTGCAGATCTAATGCATTTGAAGTGCTGGCACTCGATGGAGTTAGTACTGGGATACTTCAGTTTTATACAGCCCAGGAGAGTGCTGACTGGCTGAGAGCAATATCAACTAACATCAGTGATTTGACACTGCAAAATGTATGTTACTTTCTGCATATTTTCTTGTCTGTGATGTTGTAAAATTATATCTAATTTTCCAAGGGCAGAAAACAATTCACATGTAAGATACAACATATAAACATATAAAATGTGTTCTAATGGGAAGGAAAAGGACAAATTAAACACCAGGAAGTGGTTGTCTGATCAATCAGAAGTAGTAAGAAGTTTTCAAGACTTGCAGTGTTATGTTAAAACAAATAACAGTAAAAAATTCAGATTTTAACTATGATTTTAAAGCCTTTTTAAGGAAAAATATGGATCCTTCCTAGTCATTTCACAGAGCTTTAGAAATGGCCAAATAGTTTGTGTTTATATTTTTGTAATTAAAATATTCTTAAAATGAGTATTGATTTTGAAATAGGTGTGTGGAAATTCTAGCTAGTAGCTGGAATAGAATAGAAGCTAATGAAGTGCGACTTATAGTGGCTTACTGGGAGATGGTATTTTTACCTCTGTAAGTTTTCTAGTTGTGTTATTTAAAATTGCATTATTTCATCCTTCTCTGCAAAAGCCTAAGGGTGCTTATCCTGGTGTAAGTTAAGGCTGTAAATTTATATGTGGCATTTACTGTTGCAAGCATAAGTATTAAATCATCCCTGGAGAAACAGAAAATCATTATTTGGACAGGACATTATTATTTCAAGGAAGAACAACTGGAAATTATTGAAGATCCTGGAATGAATTATAGAGTTAAACAGGCAACTCAAGCATGTTCTATATTGGAAATATATTTCAGTCTTTCTGAAATGGTAGAAATCAATGATGAGAAAGGAAGTGTGCAGCTCTCCATGCCTGTTTTTAGTCTTTTTTTTTTTTTTCTTTTTTTTTTTTTTTCCAGATGTGCTCAGACTGTAATTTTGCCTAGATGATCTGATAGAGTAGATATCTTTAGTTGATACTTTTTATTCTAGAGTAATTGTTGCTTAGTTCTTTAAATTATATTCTGTATAATTTTTATTGGGTTTCAATATAAATCTTTGGTCAAACCAGATTATAAATAGAAGTTATTTTTCTGGTCTTCTAAAGTTACCTGTAATCACATTTGACCAAAATAGTTTTTTAATTAAATTAATTATTTTTTAACATTCAATTACTGAGTCAATATATTTGACAAAATCAAATACAGTTGCTTGTCATATGTTCTTTATAAATTATAGATATTGGTATTTGATAATTCTGCTATTCTAAATTATACGGGAATATTTTTAGAGCAATTCCAGACTATAGTTCCTAATCACATTTCTGTTTCTTTCACTTTCTAAAGTGAGAAAATGCTACTTTAAGGATATAGGTAAATAAATCAGTAAAAAGCAGCTATAAGCAGATTTTATTATGGGAATGGTCTGTTATTTTCCTAATGTGCTATGCCCAGTAGAGTGTGTCCTGACACAATATCTTAATGGTTTTGCAACCTGTCAGCAACAATACTCTTTTTTATACTGAGTATTTTTCTTGGTCCTCTCAATTATCTATCACAATAATGAATTGTGTAAACAAAGTAGTCCACCTAGTGTTCTTCTAAGTGGCCATTCAGGGAAGAAAGCTGTTGTGTGTGTTTCTTTTCAAACTTGAAAAATTAATGCATTCACTGTTCTCAGTCAGATATAAAGTCTGTACAAATCACATTAGAAAAGAGTAAATTTCTTCAATTTAGCGCTTGACAGGCTCTGTCACATGTGTAGCCTGTGCTGTGACTGGACTGGTCTGCACATTGTGCTGTTTTAATTACTAATAATCAAAACAAGAGGTGTAATAGCATAACAGTATCTATTTCATTGCAAACTACTTTTTTTAATACCAAGAAGATGAGATTGGAGTGCACCTTAAGTGTATAGCAAAATACAGCAAGAGTCTGCTCCCCACCTCTAAGGGGCAAGGGACACAGAGTGTTTGACACCACAGCAAAAAGGGCAAGGCCCTTGGAATAGTCTTCTAGTCTTCTGGATGCTTTTTATTACCTCACTGTTATCATTTCACAAAATGTTACTGCTGTTATCATCGTTCAGAAGTCTGAAGTTCCTCCTACCTTTTTCCTTCTACATCTATCCTGTAGTCCTTGAAGAGAATCACTACCTGTTGAAAAACTACTTCACATTATCCCTTATCTACTTAAAAGTTAATTTATTTATTTTGCCGACATTGAATTCAATTGTTTTCCAAATACTTAAAAAATTTTTATTGTCCCATGCCTTTATATCTTCACATGAATTATTTGCTTAATGCTCAATCACAATGGACCTTCTCACTGATACTGTTGGCATAAAGAATGCCAGTGTTCTTACTAGTTCTATTGCTAAGTATTTAAACAATGTTTTCTATTCTTCTATTTTACTTCTTCTCATTTTTAGATTTTGCTAATATTCATTTCATTACTTGATCCAGTCTGCCTGCAGCTTAATCATTCTTAATTCAGTTATGCCTGTTAATGCTACTCTTTTATATACATTCATCATGTACTTTTGCATACCATTTTGAATAATTTCGTTTTGAATTTTAGTTCTTAAATTGCTCATAGTGCCAGGCACCCTCTCTTTCATGCCACGCTTTTCTCTATATAATTTATTTTGCCACTTTGCCACTTAGCAGTCTTGTTCAACAACAGCTAGCTCTCTGTCAGACCTCCCGGTTATGCCAGAAGACAACCTTATTGTAGGCAGTATAAAAATAACTACCGAAACATGACACTTCTGCTAATGTCAGACTACTCTTTTGAAGTATTAAAACATCTAACTTCTTTGCAAAGGCAAGCTATCTGGGGATAAAATAGAAAGGAGAAATTGTCTTTCAATAATGAAGATGTGGAGAGTCATTGCTGCATAAGGTTGCTACCCCAGGATGCTAGCATACCTAGTAAGAGTTAATCAGTAGATGAGAAATAATGATTCTGGTACTAAGCTGTGAGATAGATAGTTCTTATAAAACGCAGAAGCACGGGGAATGTTACAACACAGTGAAAGAGGTAAGGGTGTCTTTCCAGCCCTGCTTATTGATCAATGCCTTGTACATTCAGCTAGGGAAATCTCCCGATAACAGTAATACAAGCAGTGGATTGCTTTTTGCTGAGAACCCTTGCCTCAAATTATTCACCAGTCTGTTCGTATTCTTGTATTTCACTTGCTGTTACACCCACGTGAATCTTCCCCATCATGGCCATTTGTGTTTCAATCCCCAAGCTTCTCAGTATTCCCCAAGCTTTCCACATTTACCTTCAGTGAATCAGAACCTCATATTTATTTCTTCATGCACCTCTTTTCTCGCAGGAGGAGGTATAGTTGAAGAAACTGAGGGGAGATTGAAAACAGAAACTGCCAAATTCAAAAGCACAGGAGACAACTTAGTCTGCATCTGCTTCTCACTCCAGTTCTTATTTGCTTACTTAGAAGGTTCTTTGTAGGATGAAGTGGCAGTGCTGAGCTGGGGATGATTTTTACATGAGTTCTTTAGAATAAGTTCTCCCTCTGCTTTGCACCATTCGGGTAGCCAGCTATTCAACAAATAAAGCTTTACTCATGGATCTTAATTTTTTATTTATTTATTTATTTATTTATTTTCAAACAGAAAAAAAAAAAAAGCCACCTAAAAAAAGAAATACCTTTTCCAAAAAAGTGGTCAGATGCTGGAATGGGCTGCCTGGGGAGGTGGTAGAGTCACCAACCCTGGAGGTATTCAAGAACATTTAGATGTTGTGTGGAGGAGCATGGTTTAGTGGGAAATATTGGTGTTTGGTGGACGGTTGGACTGGATGATCTTGTAGGTCTTTTCCAACCTTGGTGATTCTATGATTCTAAATTTAATGCTGTCAGTTCATTTGCATTAAAAAGACTTACTATATTTATTACTTTCTCAAGTTTTTTTTCTATTTTTTCAGCATATTTTAAAGCTGTTATTTTTCAGTATGTTAATCACAAATAGATGAGTAATTTACAAGCAGGTAAGAGAGTGAGTTAAGACACAGTTGTGCCACTGTGAGCAGTATTTATGGTTTTTGTAAATAATTCCAGCAGCTTCACTGGAGGATGGTAGAAATTTAAAATTTGGTTTGAAGACAGGAATATTTGCCTCTTTTAATACACGTGTTTTAGTATTTAAACACTTTCTGCTATGCCTAAATGTGCAGGTGTATATAAGTGATACACTCACTGTACAGAGAAATTTCTGACTTAAGAATTATGAGTTTTGAACTTACATATAAAAAGAAAGAGGGCAGATGGCTTCCTTTCATTAAACATACACACATAATATGTGTGATAAATACAGATGGAAATAAAATCCTTGAATGTCTATAATACACAGGAAGCAACATAAAAATTTGACTGTCTCAGTAGTACTACAAACAGTCTTACTGATGGGATGAAAATGTGATACTTTTTTCTTGGTGCCTTTTTTTTTTTTTTAATTTTAAATTCAGAAAATCGTGTTTGAAGGTGCTACTTATCAAACCATTGAGACTATAAAGGGAAGTCAATAAGGATAGGAATTTCATCACCTAAATTTAGACAAACAGTAAGCAATTGTGTACAACCCTTTTAGAGGCAAAAAAGAAGAAATAGGTACCTGTCAAGATCTTTGTCTCTCTCTTTGCTGACTAGAAAGATAGTATATCAGATGTAAAATTATTATTATTATTTTTAACATTGTCAATAGTGAGATAAATCCCTACCTGGGAGATATTTAGACGTAGGTATGTAGTTCTGAGTGATTTCATCCCCATTCCATTCCTGCTCTGTATGTATTCATTTAAAACAGTGTAGTAATTACAGTTGCTTAATGCTTCCAAGTTGCCTGCTGTCTTTGAAGATCCAAGGTTTTGGTTTTTGCCTCTCCTGATGTTTCCAGTTATTACACTGCAGTGCTGAAAACTCATGCAGTCCCTGCAATGTGTTGCCTATTCCATTTGTATTCCTGTCTAAGTGCATCAGCTGTGCAGGGATATAGAGAGCACCTGCTGCCTTGCAAAGTGGAAAGTGCATACTTTTCTTTCCTCCTGATGTAACGTGATGCAGAAGATCTTTCTGCTCCCCTCAGTTACATTAGGGCTGCAGCCATCCCTGCTTTGAATAGGGAATGAGCTAAGGCTGTGCAGTGAAACACTGTGGAATAGGAAGCATTGCTTCCTGTACCAGAAGGAATCTGGACTGATGATGAGAATGCTCTTCCTTCACTCACCAGTAAAACTGCATGTCCTGTCTCATACTTAGGTTTCCAGGCTTATTGGAACATAGTAAAATAAAAAGCAAAGTAGCAAAATTCTTCCTGTTACATTGAGTGCTGAAGTAATTTGACTGAACCGTAGAGGAGGATGAAAGAGATATGATCTCCACTAGTTCTGATTATCTGCACTGGTTTATATTATTGTAATATTTATGATGTCTTTGAGTTGACTTACAAGGAAATAATATTTTCTGTGTGTGTAGCTTGACTCCTGTGTAGTTACTTTGTGCATATGTTTGTTTCTGAAGCACTGGAGATCACCTGTAGCTGAAGTTGAGCATTGTTTTATGGTATTCTTACTGATGTTACAGTGTTTCAGGTGTCTTTTCCTTATGTCCTATGCAAATACTCACATAACAGAGTGTGGTTCTTGAGTTCCCACTGTTTTGATACTGTCGGGGCCCTGAGAGCACCAAGAAGCTCTTCTACCTTTTCCTCTCCCCAGGGCTCCAAGTCCATGCAGGACCATGGCTTGAGCTGCTGTGGTCAGAGCTGTGTGTGAGAGCTGCGAGGAGCCATGCCAGAGGCCCCACTTCCCACTTTGCACTCTATGCAAAATAACTGCTTCCTATCACCATCTATTAGTTATATGTGCATGTGTACGTATATATCATTACATTCCACAATGGTACTTTGTGAAAACCAAATAAGCAACAGTCTCATGGTCAGTATATTGTTATTTTATCGATAAACAAGTTAAACAGCTTCAGAGAGCCCACAAGAATTCCAGCAAACCCTGGCACATCCTGAAACCTCTGCAATTAGTTGTAACACAAAGCTTGTTGGCTGCTTCCATGCATATTTTCAGGACACGGATTGGATGGAATTAACTTTCTTCATTGCAGCCCTCATGGTGCAGTGATTTGCATTTGTGGCTAAATCTGTGTTGATATCAGTGTTTTGGCTGGTGCTAGTCAGTGCCTTTAGGGCATCAAGGATTTATCTTTTTCTCAATCTGAACCACCCTCAGTAAGGAGTGGGCAAGAAGCTGTGAAGGGTCATAGCTGGAACAGCTAACTTACACTGATGAAGGAGATATTCCATACCATCAATGTCAATGTTGTGCTCAGCAATAAGTATGGGTTAGTGGGAAAAGATGGGTGGTTTTTCTTCCATAACTGCTGGGAGACTAATTGGACATCTGGTTGCTTGTAGCAGACACTGAGAGATTGCCTTTGGATCACTTCTTTTTTTTCCTTTTCCTTTGCTTATTAAACTGTCTTTATCTTCACCCTTAAGTGTTATTGCTTTTCCTATTTTTAACCTCCTCCTGATGGAACAAGGAAGCAAGAAGGCTGAGAACTACATGACTGCAAACATGCTCTGCTTATCCCCAGATTTCATCTTACAGATCTACTATTGCCAGGATACAAGACAAGATTCTGGATTTCTTCTGCTCTTTTCCTGTATCGATTGTAGCTTTTCCCATGCATAATTGTAGTTTTTGGTATTTATCATAAACCTTTCACCGTTTATAACATAGGCCAACAATGTCACTGGAGGTACTCATCATCTTTCCAGTTCTTGCAGTCTTTATCCCTGCATGTAGAGGAATGTATATTTCCACTAATTAAGTGCTCTTTTTAGATTCCATACTGTTAGTATACTTACTAATATCAGAGAGTATCTGCCAGGGTTTGCCCACCACTCATCTCTGCAAATGGTATCTGCCAAAGAAAATCTAAAATCAGACTAACTCTAATCTGAACAGCAAACAAGAAGAAAGATAAGTAATTTATACTGAATGGTAAACTAAGAGGAAATTCTAAGTAATGTTTGTTTCATCTCTAATCATGTCTTATGCTTTAAGTAAGGTGTGTACAGTATAATATTTTTACACAGAGTGCAAAACTTAAATTCAAAAATGCATATCTTTATTAAGGATTTTATGAAAACTTTTGAGTCTTTTGTTTTATAAACTTAGCAATAATGTAGTATTTATACATGGAATTTTTAAATTTCTTATTATTTGGAAGTGAATGCAGTGTTTAGTAACTGTCTCAGTGCTAGCTGCATCACAGAAACACTTTACATCAGTTTATTAATAACTGTGTGTTCTGCTTCTCTGTTCTATAGATGAAAATGGCAAATAAATGCTCTTCTCCCTCAGACCAGGTAAGACTTTCATTATGTTATCCACATTTTCTGATGATTGCTAAGTTGCAAAATTTGCAGTAAGCCATTAGCAAACACTGAAAGTTTTCTATGGTTTTAAGTTCTGAATTAAATTCTACTTAGTACATGATGTATATACATGACAGAGGGGTACAGTGTAACTTACAACTGTACCTTGGAAAGCACCGAGTGTGTTTGTGTGTAGTATAATCACAGTGAGTCTGACAAGTTAAGCGTGTGCTTAAATCTCACATAGTGCACAGTTAGCTAAGAAGTTATGGATCTAATCTGCTTTGAACATGTCATATTGTGCAGATGGCATATTTGCCATCATCCTTTGTCTGGGACTTCTAAAGATCAGCCTGGTGAGATATTTCTTCTGCTCCTGCTAGCCAAATGTCCTGAAGTCTCAAATGAATGTATCAAACTGGGAAGCCTTCTTACTTCAGATCTTTTTCTTTTTCTATGTAAAACATAATTTTAGCATTTTTTCAGGTTAATCCTGTAAGTTTGGGAAACACTTTGAAGGTTTTATTGGAAATTTTCACTTTATATGTGCTTTCACATCATCAGTCTGGCATTAAACCATTACTCAGGAAGAAAGAGCCCAATCCTTGCACTTTCTAAAAAATGCTGGTTTATGGATTAAAAACTGAAAATGATGCAAAGTATCTTCCATATTTAATGTCTTGCTAGAGTAATTTATTATAGAATTTTATTGCAGATATTAAAAACTGAGTCAAAAATGCTTCTTACTGGGAATAAATAAATAATTGTTACTAGCATGGCAGATTGAATGTTCTTTTATATGTCACTGATTTGTCATTTGTAAAATGTACTTGTAAACTTACATACTTTTCTAGAAGCTATTAGAAATATTTAACTATTGACATGTTCTTACACATGATGTTATTTTCTTATAATTGTGTCAGTATTCGAAAAAAAATGCACCTGAAAAAAAAAATGCACTCTTTAATTCTGTGCATGGCAGATAGCCAGCAATTGTCCCCAAACCAAAATAAATACTACATTGTATAAAAAGGAAGCATTTAATTGATCTCTTTGCCATGGTTTTTAAATATTAATCAAGTCCATATGAAAAACTGTTGATTACGAAAGGTAGGGGAAAAAGTATTGAATATGAAATGACAATTCCTTGTTTTTTAAAAAATATTGAGGACAGTCATACAGCCTGACATTTGATTTCCTGAATTAGCAGGTTAGTCTCCATAAGCTGGCGCTCAGTGCAGAAAATTATCCCCTTCCAGAGTTATTCATATGAGGAACTTGGTACTGCTTCTTTAAATTATTCCTTATAGGAAACTTTTTTTCTGTCTTTCCTTTCATCATTAGAAGAGAAACCTCCTAGGTTGGTATCTACAGTAAGTGCCTAAAATTAATTTAATACTTATCTCAATTTTTCTGTGCAGAGTATGAGAATAACAAAATAGAATCAGAACTTTAATGTCAGGCTTGAATATTTGAGACAGGACTGACAGAAACAAACATTGGGTTATTCCCTTGTATGGAGAGTCACCCCAGCCTGTGTTGTGCCAGTTTGTCTGCAAGTACAAGTATTAACAGGTATACAGGTATTATAAAAATTTAAGTTATTTGGTAAGTAGCACAGCTAAAGCTGTGGCTCCAAGTGGCTGTATAACCTCTGTAGATCTCAGAAGAAAGGGGGGCTGAGCCAGGTTGTGCATTATTTTATTGAGTATGAAGCATGTTTACAGTCACCATTTTCCAAGTACTGTAACTTTTGATTCTGCCTAATGCAATTTATGACAGTTCTCTAGAGACTTGAAACCACTTGATTCTGTGTTATCAGCAGGCAATTAGAATGGGGACTCAATTTTGTAAGAGACACATTGCTGGATTGCTGTGTGCCTTTTATGAAACAGTAAATTAGGTGATTCTTAGTACAGAAAAACTACTTATGAGAGTAGTTTTTTAAATTTCATTTGCTGTTTCTTTTTAACCTTTTTAAAACTAATAGAAGCATAGTTTCTTCTTGGTAGAAATAGGAAAATATTGATCAAATATTAACTAGGACAATATAGTCTTTATGGTATAAAACAGATTTTCACTGTTTCCTATGATGTCTTTTGCCTTGTTTGTTTCAATTTTTGCAGATGGAGGAAAAGGTGAACTCTCTCTGTGTGTATTTTCATTTTCTCTTTTGTAGTGATTATAAGGTTTTCAGTATTTATAGAAGTCAATAATTTAGAGCACTGGAAGAGTCCAATATTTTCACCGCAGAATTACTTCACCAGAACTATTCACTGGCCTTCACAACCAGAGTCAAGACCTGCAATGGATGCAGTTGTGCATTAATTGAACCAACAGGAGTTTGGATAATTTTTTTAATTTTGATATTTCTAAAATGTCTTCAGTAAATAAAGAGACAATTGTCTAAACCATGAGCTTGCTCTTGACCTCTGGCAGAAATTATACAAAAAAAGAAATCTGGAAACAACATATATGAAAGCACAACATGTGACAAGGAAAGACTAGAGGACATAGATTAAGATGCCTCAGCAAGAGATAGATCGGTAACAAAACTTACCTGTTAGAAAAAGGCAAAGACAAATGTTTGTCTTCTACGCAGTGCATCGGAAGTCAGCCTTCTTAAAAGGCTTTTAAGCTGACCTTAAAAGGTCACTGCAACAGATGGTTACTGCAATTAGTACAAACAAAAATTACTAAATCTCAAGTTACACTATGAGGAAATTTTTGATGATGTTTATTCTTTTGAGGCCTGGAGATATAAGAAAGGCTGGTCAAAGTCTGTTTAAATTTTAATATATTCATTGGTCCTTATTTTTTATGTTTTTTTTCTCATTTCTTTGGGTATTTCAACTACAAACTGTGATACCACCTCCACTGTTTATTAGCTTGTACTCTTTTTTACTGTATTTTGACATTGTTTACCCAGAAGAATTCCTAAAACATGTTACTCATCTATCTGGCCTGTTAGTTTATCCCATTATTATTAGCCATGGGCTTGAGCAGCCAGGCGATTTTCCCCTTGTTCTGTCTGCAATGTCCAACAGTTTCCCAAGGTATTACCTTGTCAGTTTAATGTCAGTCCAGGCTGGCCATCTTCCACAACCATGTCTCCATTGTGGCTTTGGAAAAAGAGGTAAGCATTCAAGGCTGTATGTACTAAATGACTTCAAGACAAGCAAGTTGTTTTGTTGTAGGGCCTTGGCAGGTAAACTGCATGTGATGATATACTGAAAATACTGACCAGAGCTTATCCATGGAAACACTGAAAGAAATGGGGTTTTGATACTTAAAGAACAGAGCACAGAGATATAAATGAAATTTTCAGGAGTGTTAACTTAATGCTTAGTGATAGCAAGTACAAAAGGCAAGGAATTATGACGGAGACCAGCTCAAGACGCCTGGGACAGACGGGCTTAGGCTCTGGTGGCACAAGAAGCAAAGTTTATTGTTGTTATAGAGTTTTTATATCTTTTAGCTACAGGAGTATACAATACTTAAATCAGATAACATTCATGCAGCTGACAGCAATACATCATTACTTAATTAGCTCTTTGTGGATTATGGTCAGTACAGTGATCAAAAGGTGTTCTCTCCACAGAACACGTTCTGCTCTTGGTCATGGAACGAAGAAGCTGTAACTTATGCTTGCCAGTTTCACATGGCAGTCCTTCCCTTTCAGGAGGGGCTGCATGTTTCACGTGGCAGTCCTTCCCTTTCAGGAGGGGCTGTATGTTCCCTGTTTGACCCTTTCAGGCCAGCCAGGTCTGTTTTGCTTAACAGTCTTCCTCAGAATTATGCCACACAAGCTACGTATTCTGGATCACAGTGGCTTTTCCATAGTTTTGAACTTAAGAAATTTTAGTTTTTTTCTAATTAACCCAGAACAAAATATTTGAATTTTTGTGTATAGTAAATGATTTTATATCTAATAATAATTTGATAGGGTAAAAAATTAGTCTGATATATTTACAGCAAGCAATTCATGTTAGACATAAGGAAGAGATTTTCTTATCATTCGTAAAGCTAACAAAACCCTAGAGAAATTATGCAATTACTTTTACTGGAGATCATTGGCTTTGCATTTTGAAGAAGTAATGTACTGCATTTATCAGAAGCCTCTTTTCCCCTCTGTTTTTAATGCTATGTGGTCTTAATTCTGAGTAAAGAGATTTTCAAATATGGAGCGTTTTCCCGTTATTCCTCCTTGTTAACTGTTGTCCCAGGTATGCCATGAACATTTTCTCTTGGTTTCATGCTGCAAGTTAAAAGGAACCCTACATATACTCTTGTAATTAAAAGTGTAGCATATGCTCATAAAATTAGTAAGTCTGAATTGTTAGTCTGGAGAAGTTAGATTCTTACAGACAATTTTGTAATTTGCAACTGTAAAATGACAGCAGAACTAAATTCTTTCAAGCATAAAGTAACCACTTAAAGTACAATTGAGATGTTCCTTGGTGGCTGTTTTAACTTCTTTTGCACGGGAGGTCAGCTGTGCAAGAGAATTCTAGTGAAATTCTCTTGATCTGCTTCAAAGATTTTTCGTGGACCTCTTCTCTTTCACTGAAAATACAACTTATTCTAATATGTAAGTACCACTTCAAAGCACTTGAACTTTTTAACCTATCAGTTCGCTATTATGTAGTACCTTTGTGGGGTAAATAATTATTTTGCTTATTTTTGAGAGAAGCTTGCTGTAGATGAAAAGGTAGGCAAAATTTGCCAGACTTTCCAGAACAAATCAAGAAATTATACAACTGTGTTTCTGAACTTATTTCATGGAGTGTGACACATTGTCTACAGTACACACGTTTCTCAGTTTCCACAGTGTTTACATTTTCCATTTGGTGTGTGTTGTGTTAATGAAATAGTTTATCTTAATTTTTTCTTTGAAATTGTGAAATTTCTAAACATTGGATTCTAAAAAATGTAGAATAGATTCAGTGAAGGAAATGTACTCCTATTTAAGTTGAAATGTTCAAAAAAGT